AAATTTTTGAGTACTGTATATCTCTGAGGATAGTGGTTGAGTGATTATCTAGCCTTCCACATGGCTGCGTTTTGTGTTGGCCTCTTCAGTCTTAATGATGCCCCCTGGCAAAGGAACTCATTTGAGTGATGCTTAGCTCAAGAGAATTATCCCGTCATCTCCAGTGCCTCTTAGGAATAAGGATAATTGCTCTGTAAGAGAGTGACATGTGTTCAGTTCTTTGGTGCCCCCAGAGAAAGTAAGCAAACGTAAGCAAACATAAGCAAGCTAGCATTTTGTGATGAATCAACCATCGTGTTTGGTGTTACATAGGCTGTCTGATTTATTATACTTCTGCAGTTATATTCTTTTATACAGATATGAAAATTGAAGGTGGGAGGCATTTCATAGTTTGTTACTTTTAGGTTTAGTGAGAAGTTGGAGGAAGGCATCATAGTAAAGTGGAATGATCATTGCCTACTCTCCTGATTTTCTTTATGTTCTTCACTAATTAAGAGCATCATTTTTATCCTTCTCTTTTCCTTATCCCTCCTGTTCACATGTAATCTAAAGGTTGTTAATTTTTTCCTTGAAATGCCTTAATTATAAATTCTATTTTTTAAGTCGTTTTCTTCCAGGAATTGTTGCCTCATACCTGCAGTAATAATAGAAATAATAAAAATTAATTTGTTTAGCACCTTGCAGTTTAACCAAGTACTTTCACATATTCTTACTCATGTAATCCTCATAACCACACTGTATGTGGTAGATGTTATTCTTTAAATGTTATGCTATAGAAACTTCCTATTCGTCTTCTTTCTAGGTATTCTCTCTTTTATTTTATACATTGGGGCCAGGTTAATATTTTTAAAATACAACTTTCATCATTATGCTTTGTCTTTTAGCACAAGACCTTTGGTTGTTTCACAGCAATATGAATAATGAAGTCAAAACTCCTGTATTTGCGTTTAGGATTCTACCCTTCTTTTTTAATTGCCCTAGAACTTTTTCAGAAGAACTTTCTCTATATATCTAGTCAGTTTGGTTCACTTCAGCAAGTACTGGTATCTGTTCTATATTGAATACTATGTTTGTTGCTAGAGATAAAAAGATGAGGTAAACATTCTTCTTGTTCTCAGCAAATTCACTGTCCACTGGAGGTAAATAAGATTTAGGCATAGCTAATTATAACGTATGTGGAAGATCATGGAACTGGATGCTTCCTCAGTTTTATAAAGTCTATTTAGAAAAGGAGATTTTTTTAAATACATAAAACCACAAATAAGCCCAAAAAATGGGAGATAAGATGAAAACAGATGAGGAATACTGACACAGTTTTGGATTCTGGAAGGCAGACACTTAGGTGGTAACTGACTTAAGAGTCCAGAGAAAGCTGAGTGACTGAAAGGATAGGCCAGTTTGTTACAAAAAAGGCACTAGATAGGCTTGAGAATTGGAGACATGAGGACCTTCAGAAAGTTGGGATGCAGAAGGAAGTAAACACAGGAAGCTTAGTCACAAGTCTATATAGGAAGCAGTTAAGTTGGTAAGTCCTCTCCCTCCCTAGCGTCACCTGGCACCTGCACTTTCCCAGCATCACAGGAGATGGAAGCTTCACACTTGTGAAAGTGAACTGCACTGTGAAAACTGGGCTACCTGGCTGAGCACAGGGAAAATGAGAAAAAGGTTACCCATTGATTGGTGAGATCACCCAGAGTCTAGAAGCAGCACATCCCTAAGTGCCTGGGATTTCTTTAGCTCTTAATTTTTTCTTCAAAAGAAATCTGTGCACAATTTCTATAATATAGCAAGTTTGTTTTACTATAAAGAAGATTTTCCCCCAAATCTTGAAAGGAAAGTGAGGATCAAGGAAAGGTGTGTCTTATTTGTCCTGTAGCTTATGCCCTAGTACACCTCAGTGTACCCTTAGTTGTGCATATCTCAGAGTAAGAGGCTGGCATTCAGCGTTGTTCACACCCTGTCCCTGTTGGATCTTTCTGGCTTGGCTACTCACCATTTCTTCCCATGTACTTTGTGTTCTGTTCATATTGGTCCACTCACAGTATATCAAGTTCTGGACATTTTCTATCATGTCTCCACCTCACTATTCAACTTAGTATTTTTAATAAGAAATGCCCATTATTCTGTCCTCTCTTTGTCCTTCAAGGCTCATCTCAAGTGCCGCTTGTGCCCAAATGCTTTACCCTCCCTCATCCAAACTCCTCTACTGAATTGTTCATATTACTTTGTTAACACTCATCACACGTGGCTTATTTAACACACTTTTGAGCTACCATGTGCAGGGCCCTGTGCGAGGAGCTAGCATACAGTCTCTGAAGGATGAGACCTGAATGTTACTCATCTTAGATATCTGATATCTGAGTATGATGGATATTGAATATTAAAATGCTTCCCCTACCTCTGGTGTCTTATTTTTCTAGTTAATCTTTTATACTTCCTCACAAATGATTATTCAGAATCACAGATCTGATCATGTCAGTACCCTACGCAAAAACCTTTCATTTTAAACTTTAAGATGCCCTTGAGGACTCTCCTAATGTGGACTGAGCCTTACTCTTCTAGTTTCTTTTGCTGCCCTCACTACTCCTTGCACATCCCTACCCCTTCCTTCCTGATCCTCATGATGCGTGGTCCACCTACTCCCAGACTATCCACCATCTCAGCCTATACTATCTACTTTCTTATTTTCTGTTTGTTTGCTCATACAGTTTCTTCTCTCTGAAATGACTTTCCCTCCTCTTCAGCTATTAAAATCCTACTCGTTTTTTAAGGCTCTGGGGGGAAAAGCAGAATGGAAGAAAGAAAGACAAGAATTTCCTTCTTGAAACTACTGTAATTGCCTTCTCTCTTTTCTTGCTCACAGATCAGAATTCAGGTTTATTACTCTGCTTATACGTACACCAGCATCTCACTTCACTTTAAATGTTACATCTATTAAATTGAAGATCTGTTACTTTAAGCATATACTTCAAATATTAAGTCTTGTAACAGTGAAGGCATGCTGTACTGTGAATGAATAAGGGGTGAATTTTGGTCTCTACCCCCCTGTAATTCTTATTGATAAAATGGAGTACAGAGCGGGGAAGAATGTCCAGTTCAGGAAGACCCCCTAAACACACTTAAAGTTTTAAACTTGACTATTTTCCTCTAAGTGGTACTAAATTCTTAGGGTCAGCCCTCTGCTAAAATTGGTTTTAGGTCACAGTATCAGTACTTATACAGTGCCAGGAAGGGCTCCCCTGAAAAATCTTCATGCAACATCATTTCTGGTGTGGAAGTCTGTGGCCAAATTGGAATTTTAATCTGCCTGGGAATTGGTTGTTACCACCTATCTATTTTTCTCCCAGTTATTAATATCCTTTTCACAATTTCATCAAATATACTTAAAAAAATTTTTTTTGGTGGGAACATTAATCAGAAACACAAACTAACTTTTAGAAGCAGAATGCAATTTATCTATGTAGAAAAATGCCTATTTTCTGCCTTTTTTTCTTTTAAAAAAGAAGTTCATCTTATAATGGTTTCTTACTTATTTATCTGGTAACCTGTGAGTCCTCTTTATTATGTAATTTGCAGACAAAAGTTATGCCTAAATTAGTATAGTGTTTGACACATAGAGGTTCTTGTTAACCTGATAGTAGTAGTAAAAGTGTAATGGTGTAGTTCCCAAAAGGCCATCTGTTGTCTACAGCTTGGTAAAATAAAAGCTTATATTGCAGGCAACTTTTTATTTCCACAATGAAGGGGTTTTTAAAATTATTATTATAAAAACAATGTATATTATATAAAAATCAGAAAATACTAAGAAACAATCATTTTAATACCTTAATATACATCTTCCTATATCCTTTTCCATGCATATATATTCAGCTATGTACATATGTGTGTGTATATATTTATGTATATAAATAAATATAACATTTACCTCTATCTAGTATTTAAAAAGGAGTCACACTGTATATACCAGTACCTTTTAATCAGTCAAGGTTTTAGGTGTCCAAGATGTGTGGAACATGGTCTTAAGCACCATAGAGCATTGAGAGAACTATTAAATAAAATCTCTACCCTCAAGATATTTATAGTCAAGCTGATTAAGATAGGACAAATATGTAAGAAGCAATGTGAAGTCCAGTGCAGTGGCTAAACTATATGATATGTACTAAACACTCAGGAGGAATTAAAATTAGCCTTTAAGACTCAATGGGGGAGGGGTGGTGAAGGTAGCTAAGTACCTGGCATATGGTAGGAGCTCACTAAGTGATAGTTGTTGCTCTCGCCCTCAAACTCCAAGCTTTTACTCTGATGTCTAGGAGAATATTGATTCCATTTGTACAAGTGGAGAAGTTGAGAGGAAAAACCATCACTATTTCAGGAAGAACTTTGAGATGTTTAAGTGTTGTCCAGGTGGAAAGCTGTTTCCTGCATAGTGAAAGATACAGAGCGAGAGTTCTGGTGAAGAATGAAAACAGCTTTGAGTCATATTTACAGACAGTAGATGAGTTTTCCAAGAGGAGAGTAGAGCAGTAATTGGTTTTATCTCACACTGTCCTCTATGCCAGCTAAAGTTGAAACTGAATACCATGACAAAAAATATAAAATCCCCATTTGTTAGTGAATTTGAAAAATGAGGGTTTGTGTTTATTGTGCCAAGAGTTAAAATCTCTGTATCTTTGAAATTCTGGCATTTCTTCTTGGTTTGCCTCATGGCTTAAGAGTTTGAAATATTAAATAACAAAACCGTGTGTGTGAGAGAAAGAGATTTTTCTTTTTTTAACAAAAATGCTCACATCTAATTTAAATTTCCAAATTCTCAAGCTGTTTTTGTTCTTGTCTTGCTGGGTCTCATTATCTGTGTTCAGCTTCTCACTTATAAATCATGTTTCATATATGTGAACAGCATTGGGAATGTGACCTTTCTCATGACCCTGTAAGCTAAGATTTTGTTTTGCATTTCCCAGAATAAATGTCACTAAAACATATACATTCTGCTTTTCCCCTAGGTAAAAATCTCTACACCAATGAATATGTAGCTATCAAACTGGTGAGTAGAATCTGTATTTGTGGTAATTATGTTTTGGTGCTCTCAACCCTCACATATCTTTTTATAGGACATAGTTGTAAGCATTCACAAAAATACTTATGTTGTTCTTTTCCCTTACATATGATCCCACATAGTCATTTTCCTTCAACTATAGTATTACAGTGGTGAATCACTGTAATACTATATAATACAATATAGTCAGACGATGCTAACTATAGTATTAACAAGGATGAATCAAAGAATAATTTAAAAATAGCTAGACGAAAAAAAATCACTGTAAGACTAGTAATTTGTGTGAAACTTGTACCTTTCACAGTGCTGTATTAAAAGATAAAATCATTTGAAAGTTTTATTATTTTTTTCTTGAACGTGACTGATCCATTTTTAAAATGTAAGGTATTTATTAATATACGTAGGAGTAGAGAACCAAATCTGATCATCTAATCATTGCCTTAAAAAGCTGTCAAACACACCATGTGGTCAAATTTGAAGCAGAGTTCAATTGGTTATGTCAGTACTAGTCTTATGAATAACTAAACTAGTCGTTGAATATAGCATCCTGGGGCCGGCCCCCTGTCTCAGTGGTTAAGTTCTCATGTTCTGCTTTGGCAGCCCTGGGTTTCGCCGGTTCGGATCCTAGGTGTGGACATGGCGCCACTAATCAGGCCATGTTGAGGCAGTGTCCCACGTGCCACAACTAGAAGGACCCACAACTAAAAAAAAATATATATATATATATATATATATATGCACAACTGTGTACTAGGGAGCTTTGGGGAGAATAAGGAAAAATAAAATCTTAAAAAAAGAATTTTTTTTAAAATATTTTTAAAAATATTTATATATTTTTTAAATATTTTTGAGGATTAATAATTTTAGAAGAAACGGTTCTTTATCTTATATTTAAAAGTGATACAAAACTATTTCTGGTCATATGAAATGTTTCATAAGGCTAGTTTTTATGAAACTGTAAATGTTTGTCCTCCTAGTAAATCCTAGTAAGTTTCCCAGAATTTCCAGGTAGTTTGGGGGCCTTATAATTGGAAGGCAGAGGAGTTAATGTTTGAAGGAAGGATCTTGTTATAATTGAATGCTGTTCTTTTCTAATAAATTGTACTTACCACATCCACACCTGCTCTGTGGTTGGTCGCTTCCTCTCATTCAGCTTGTCAGTTTATAAAGGGGTTAGGGTTGTCTGGTGAAGAACTGACAGTTATCAGATTCGTTTTTCTACAAAGAAGTTGACAGGGAGCAAGACTTACAGAAGGTAGTTGCTAGGGAACAAGTATTTTCTTCTGTCTGTTGACTTGGAACTCTTGATGGAGAAATGGGAGCAGGAAGAGAGGTAATGCATGTTAACAATGCAGGCCAAATGTTTTCTCTGAATATCAAAGGATTAACCTTATCTTTTTACTTAGAGGAATTTATTCTGTAAAAGTGTTCTTTAGCTCATCTCCTTTTTAACTTTTTCTCTTTTACTACTTTGGTGAGTTGAAATCATTTTGATTCTTCAGGACTAGTAACAGTAAGAAGAAGCCCCTAAAATACTTTATTTGTTATTGTCGCTTTATTAATCAAGACTTCTTTTGAGGGTTTCTGTTAGGGGCAATTCTGTCTGTCTAGATTTCTGCTTCCAAGTTTATACTAGTCAACATATTTACATAACCTTGCATAACATATTGTTGTATTGAATGACCATTGCATTTCACTTACATTTTATTAAACTTTTATTCTACTTTATATAGCTGAGTTAAAGCTAAAAATAGACTTCGTATCATCTAGTATGGTGTGTCTCAGTACCTCATTTCTCTTTCAAATAAATCTTAGATAAAGGCTTTTTGTAGGGTGACAGTCTTATCTGTGAGCCTCCTCTCTTGCTGTTGGGCTGTATTCTTTGTGGCAGTATCTGAGCTCTTTTCATTATAACGGTAAAATTTGCCTTAAGCATTACAGTCCTACAAGTTAGCAGTAATGCTGTCTGTTCAGGATTTCAGGCAGGCCTATGTATTCCAGAATAACTGTGACTCTGGCAAATAACCAGCTCTCTATGGAAATGTAATCAGCATCTGACACAGAAATATAGGGAAGCCCTGCTCGTACTGTTTCAGTTTTACTTTGTTTGGATCTTCATTGTGGGCTCTTGTTTCTTGGATTTCTAGGAACCTTTTTTAAAAATCATAGATAATGTGAACAGAATGTCATGAGCCCTTCCTTTACCTCTATCACCAAGATTTCTAGAGTTCTTTTTAGCAGAGGTTTTCTAACAATTGTAAAAAAAAATAAAATAAATTCTGTCCATGCTGCTAATCTTGCTGCCTTCCACAAGCTGTAGACTGAGTGTTTGCAATGTCCTTTATCCTCAGTGCTTCCAGAAGAGCACCTTGAAGTTCCACTTGGCTGAACAGGCTACAACAATGTGCTGAAGGGGGTTGGCTGAGGGGTGTAAGTCCTTCCGTCTGCAGTGAAAAGCCCCTCCTATCTGAATATGTGTGATGTGTACATGCACTTTCAGCCCTGTAACTCTACAGAGTTTTGCTCTTTTTATTTGCTTAGTTACCTAAGATCAGATTGAATATTTCCTATTAAGATTTCTGGTATGAAGTTTGAGAGTATTATGTTTGAAGAAAGGTCTGTGGTTTTTTAATTCATTGCCCCTTGTGGTTTGTCAGAATCCAAAGGCTGTTACTCCAGAAAGAACACTCCTCTTTCTAGTGTTTAGATCAACCTCTGGTTCCATGTTGATTTGTCAACAATGTTTATGTTTGGTTCCTTGTGAATTATTAGTGATTTTGCTAAAGGACAAAGCCTATAATTGACTGCTTTGACGGTGATATAATAGTACATCTAGAACCAAATGAAGAGTCTCAGGAGCCCTCTGTATCTGAAGAGATTAATGAATAAGGAAGTGACTCTACAGTATAATTAGTATGTACTTTTATTTTGGACTGCAAAAATCTTGAGAAACTTGAAGTTCAGCTCTGATGATTACTGATTTTACAGTCAAAGAAGGACATGAGTTCTTTCATAGAACTCCTTACAGATATGAAATATTCCAGTCTGCCTGAGTTGATTTAGATATAACCTTCCTAGAAGCAGAGGGATAGACTAGATAACTTCAAGGAAACTTCTCAATTCTGTGACTTATGTATTCTATATCTTAAGAAAAACACAGAAAACTTGAACTGGGTTCAGGAAGAGCCTTCAAAGATGATCAAACAGTTAAAAAATAGGACCAATGAGGAAAGGGTAAAGGAATTGAAATTACTTCTTCTGAATAAAGAATGTCTAAGAAATGATTGAATAGTTTTGTTTTTTGAAGATAGCTTTTATGGTATTCACAAGTTATTGAGGAGCAATTTTATCTTGTTATTGAGGATATAAGAGAAATAGGCTCAAGTTTCAGTAGTGGAGATTTAAATTGCATATAAAGACCTTCAAAACCATGAAATTTGTTAAACGCCAGCATGAATTATCAAAAAGCTATAGAATCTCCTTCCTTTGAGCCTATCTTAAAAATAGAACAAGTGGACTGGCCTGGTGGTGCAGTAGTTAAGTGCGCACGTTCTGCTTCTCGGCAGCTCAGGGTTCGCCGGTTTGGATCCCGGGTGTGGACCTGGCACTGCTTGGCATGCCATGTTGTGGTAGGCATCCCACATATAGAGTAGAGGAAGATGGGCACGGATGTTAGCTCAGGGCCAGGCTTCCTCAGCATAAAGAGGAGAACTGGCTGTAGTTAGCTCAGGGCTAATCTTCCTCCAAAAAAAAAAAAAAAAGAACAAGTAACCATTCAATGGGGGAAGGACTATCTTTTCAACAAATGGTGTTGGGAAAACTGGATATCCACCTGCGATGAAGTTGGACCTTACCTTACATCATATACAAAAATTAACTCAAAATGGGTCAAAGACCTAAACATAAGAGCTGAAACTATAAATCTCTTACAAGAAAATTTAGGGGAAAAGCTTCATGACATTGAATTTGGCAGTGATTTTTTGGATATGACATGAAAAGCACAGGAAAGAAAAGAAAGATAGGTAAGTTGAATTTTATCAACTTTTGTGCACCACAGGACTCTGAACAGAATGAAAAGGCAACCCATGGAATGGGAGAAAATATTTGAAAATTATATATCTGATAAGGAATTGATACTTAGAATTTACCATTTTAACAGTTAAGTGTATAGTTCAGTGGCATTAAGTACATTGACGTTGTTGTGCAACCATCGCTACCTGCCATCTCCAGAACTTTTTCATATTCCTCAACTGAAATTCTGTACCCATTTCCTCCTCCCCCTAGCCCTTGGCAGCCACTGTTCAACTTTCTGTCTCTGAATTTGACTACCCTAGGTACCTCATCTAAGTGGAGTCATGCAGTATTTGTCCTTTTGTGTCTGGCTTATTTTGCTTAGCATAGTGGTCTCAACATTCATCTATGTTGCAGCATGTGTCAGAATGTCTTTCCTTTTTACAACTGAATAATACTCCATGTATGTGAGAAACAAAATGTAACTACATTTTTTTCTTTTTTAAGATTGGCACCTGAGCTAACAACTCTTGCCAATCTTCTTTTTTATTGTTTCCTGCTTTTTCTCCCCAAATCCCCCCAGTACATAGTTGTATATTTTAGTTGTGGGTCCTTCTGGTTATGCCATGTGGGATGCCGCCTCAGCATGGCCCGATGAGCAGTGCCATGTCCACGCCCAGGATCCAAATTGGTCAAACATGGGGCAGCTAAAGTGGAGCGTGCGAACTTAACCACTTGGCCATGGGGCCGGCCCCTGTAACTCTACATTTTGTTTATCCATTCATTTGTTGATAGATACTTAGGTTGCTTCCAGCTTTTGACCATTGTGAATAATGATACTATGAACATGGGATACAAATATCAATTTGAGTCACTGCTTTCAGTTCTTCTGGGTACATATACAGAAGTGGAATTGCTGGATCACATGGTAATTCTATGTTTAATTTTTTTAGAAATTGCCATACTGTTTTCCACAGTAGCTGCACCATTTTACACTCCCACCAGTAATGCACAAGGGTTCCAATTTCTCCACATGCTCATCAACACTTATTGTCTGTGCTTTTGATAACAGCCATCCTGCTGAGCATGCAGATGTACCTTTTAGGGTAATGTTTGATTTTCTTGTTAACTAGTTGCTTAGTATAGCTGTCAGTTCAGAATAAATAACCAGCTAATACTTGATGTTTGATGTTTGGTGTAGGGCAAAGTGTGGTAGTTTGGCTGCTGTATCTCTGGGGTCTTTAGAAAACTCTATTTTTGAAAAATTGAACACCATATTGATTAAAGTTACATATTTTAATTGCACTTACAATCTTTAATTCTTTTAAGTGTAAAAATGAATATGCATAAGAATGTTCCTACAGCATTACTCATAATATTGAAAACTGAAAACAGTCCAAATGTCCAAAAATTGTGGTGTGTATGTGTACAGACATACAGGGGAATGCTACAGCCATTAAAAACAATATACAGCTATACTCATTGCCATGGAAAGGTGTTATCATCACGCTGTTGAATTTAAAGGCAAATTACAAAACAGTAAATAAAGTATGATCTATTTATTTAAAATATATTTTTGAGTCTATATTATATAGAAATATATGTATAAATAAATATTTGGAAGGACATTCACCAAAATATTAATATTGATTCTCTTTAAAATGATAGAATCTCAGATTATTTTTACTTTCTTCCTAGTTTTTATACATTTTAAATTTTCTTTCTGAGCATGAATTATTTTTCTAAAAATAATAAAACTGTTTACCACCCAAAATTCCAAATAAAACAAGCAGGAAATACATGCTGGTATATAATTAAAAGGTTTGGCATCTGATTTCCTAGTAGGAGAATACATTTCAGGAGAATACTTCATGGTGAGGACGCTATTCTTGAATGATAGCTCATACAGAGTATTTTTATTTAAATATCCATGGAAGGGATTGTATGTAATTCAGCTTCATCCTCCCCAGGCTGTGCTTTCAAAGAGAAATTGTGGTAAGAAAATGTTATCATATATGGATATCATCTCTAAAATATTAAGTGGTCTTAGCCCTGGTTTACTCTGAAAACCTAGGAATGGAAGAATCCTATTTATCTACATCTGATCATAATTTCTCTTCTTGGGTTTCAGGAACCAATAAAATCACGTGCTCCACAGCTTCATTTAGAGTACCGGTTTTATAAACAGCTTGGCAGTACAGGTAAGTCAATCTCTTCTCTCCATTTACTTAGAATATAGCTTAGCTGAAAGCCCAAAAATATGCAAATTGTCTTGTCTACTTTACCATTTTTACCACACCATGTATTTCCCCTGCTTGCTGGATAGGTAAATAAACATAGCCAACCAAAAAGCTCCTTGCTCTCTGGCTCCTGGAGGGACAGTTGAGTTGATTAGGGATCTGTGAGGCCATGACTGTGCCCACTGACCAACCTTTGAATGCTTTCACCCCCCTGAAGTACACATGGTATGGAGTTTTGTTTTTTGGTAGTTTATTCATTCTCTTTCAATTTCTTTATGTATACTAAAAGAAAAGAGATGGGGTTGGTAATTTGCAAGCTTTATTTTAACCACATTGAGACTATATATCTGTTTTAAAGACATACTAAAATATACATGCTGAAATATATAACACTGTCATTTTATCTGTTGTTCTCTTTAATTTGGAAGCTCTGTCTGTATAATTGTAATAACCTTGACCTTTGAGAGTTTTTAAAAGTTGTTTATAATTTTTAAAAGCTTGCCTATTTTTTACTTTTCTAAAAGCTCTCATTTCTGAAATATCTTACTGGCTTCCAGAAAAATATCTTGATTAAGCAAATGTTACCAGCCCTAAGGAGGTTGTACCTATTACCTCTTGCAGAAGATGGAATCCTTCAATGCTAGTTTCATCATTTAACATTAGTAGACATTGTTCTGCTTTATGCCTTCTTCACTGTGACAGTTTTATGTGACTGACTGAAACATGGTTTCTATTTCAAGTACCACTATTGAAGGCACTATTGAAGGAATTTGACTTTCGTGTCCTAGAATATATAGAATTATGTAAGAGCCACTGGGTGTTACTCAAGTTGTTTTATACCCTGACTATGGCAATAATCAGCCATAGTCATAACCTAGGGAGGTCACGATGGGCATTTGTCCTTCACTGAATCTAGCATGACTTCTTGCTTGGAGTAGCCTCTTAGTGTATGTTTGTTCATTGATTGTGTCCTTAAATGTGGAGTGTTCCTGGTGTAGGATTTAAGATTGGCAACAGAGTTCACAGGATGTATTTATAACTTGAGGCTTGTCTTCCGGTAACTAAACTTTAAAGTTGGCTGTTATGTTGTTCCTGGTTTCACAAATTTCAGGGTAATAATTATCACAGATCACTTATGATAAACAGGTTTGTGCATGTCTCACAACTCGAAGGTACACATAAAAACATGCTAGATCCAGCCAAACTTAGATGTTTGAATGGGCCTGAGGAAAGTGACCAGGCCATTTTGCAGGATTTCCTCTGTAAGCCCTTCCAAATGCAGTCATGTGCTGCATAATGAGGTTTCTGTATAATAACGGGACACATATACGACAGTGGTCCCATAAGACCTTCGCGTAGCACAAGATGTGCAGGTAGAAGGCAGTGATATCGATGATTCTGACCCTGCGTAGGCCTAGGCCAATGTGTGTTTGTGTCTTAGTTTTTAACAAAAAAAGTTTAAAAAGTAAAAAAAATTTAAAGTTCAAAAAATAGAAGAAAGCTTTATAGAATAAGGATATAAAGAAAGAAAATATTTTCATACAGTTGTACAATACATTTGTGTTTTAAGTTGTGTTATTACAAGAGTCAAAGTTTAAAAAATTTTAAAGTTTATAAAGCGAAAAAGTCATGGTAAGCTAGGGTTAATTTGTTACTGAAGGAAGAAAAATATTTTTTTAATAAATTGAGTATAGCCTAAGTGTACAGTGTTTATGAGATCTGTGCCCTGGATCAGAACCTGTGAACCCCAAACCGCCGAAGCAGAGTGCACAAACTTAACCACTACGCCACCAGGCCAGCCCCAAATATTGACTGTTTTTTAACTGTTATTGCATATCTCCTCCCACTCCCCACAGTCTTATTGTGATAAGACTATAAGCTCCTGCACCTTGAGAGCAAGCCTTCTGCCACCTTCACCTGTGTGTCTCAGTTGTGTTCTCAATGCCCAACATAGTTTTTTCACATAGTAGGCACTTGGGAAGAAATTTGGTGATAGAAAGAAGTTAGGAAGAATTTATAACGTGATTTTTTTAGATTTTTGCCAAGCTATTAATAGAAATATTCCCTAGGGATGGCCAAAAAAGCAAATTTATTTTGAAAGTAGATCAGTTGACAAAAAAGTAGACAAGATTTCACTACGTCTCATTATAAAGGTGAGCGTGAACACTAGAGCTTGTTTCTAACTACAACATGAGCATTCTCTCCCTATTTTTCTAGAGTGAGTTCCCAGCTGCAAAAGTGACTTATCGCTAGTTAATGTTTGAGCAGCCAGAGCACATATGCCACTCTCTGCAGAACCAAGGTGATGTGCCATTGTAAATAAATAACCTTTCATGCCAAGGCACACAATGACCAAAATAATGCAATCATTGTTTTTGCTCACTAGTGCTGTATCTGTCATTATTCAGCACAGGCCAGTTATTTGCAAAATATTTGGTTATCATGACAAGGAATACTTAAAAAAATAAAAGCCCATTGTTACTTAGGTTTGTTCAAGGAATTAGTGCTTATAAAGTATAAATGGATGAAATTTTGATGGAGAAATGAGTGATTGTGAATTTAAAGAATAGTGCTATTGCTATTGTGACCAAAGCTTGAGACTTTAAATTCCTAAAAAAGGGACTTTTGTGGTAGCTCGGAACTATGACCATTTCTTCCATAAGTACCCAGGTCTTAATCATTACCTTGGGTTTTTGATGCCCATATTGCCCTGACCATATGATCTGGAAATTCATTCCATTTCTCTACTCATGTGGAGATAGAACAAAAATGGTAGCGCTGGATCATTGTGAACATGGTTTAAGTTGTAGCTCTTCCTGATTGTGCCTTCTTTTCCTTGTTCAATCTCTAACTCCTTCCCTTCCATCCCACTCTGTTCTCTGGTGGGCAGTCACACTTCAAGCTTTGTTTGCTGATTATAGCTTTGCCATCAAGAATTTCAAAACCTGATTACTTACTATGAGAGTTGAAATCTCCAGATAATCAAGGGGGACTTGAAGGCCTTAAAACTTGAGAATGAGGATCTTGATCTTCCTAATAACTATGATTTTTTTTTCGTTTATTGTAGAAACCAAATTATAAAATATTAAAGGATTTTCTTTTTCCTGAGGAAGATTCACCCTGAGCTAACGTCTGCTGCCAATCTTCTTGCTTTTTTTTTTGTCCTTCAAGTAATTTTATTGGGCTTATAATAATGATTTATAACATTGTGTAATTTCGAGTGTACATTATTGTTTATCAATTCCTGAATACACTTTATCGTGTTTATCCCAGTAATCTAATTTTTATCCATCACTGTACATATGTGCCCTTTTGTCCCTTTTGCCCACCCCTCAACCCCTTTCCCCTCTGGTAACCACTAATGTGTTCTCTTTATCCATGTATTTTTTATCTTCCACATATGAGTAAAATCATGTAGTATTTATATTTCTCTCTTTGGCTTATTTCACTTAACGTCATACCCTCAAGATCCATCCATGTTGTTGCAAATCGGACAATTTTGTCTTTTTTTATGGCTGAGTAGTATTCCATTGTGTATATATATATATACCACATCTTCTTTCTCCATTCATCAGTGGATGGGCACTTGGGTTGCTTCAACTTCTTGGCTATTGTGAATAATGCTGCAGTGAACATAGGGGTGCAAAAATCTCTGGATCATTGATTTCAAGTTCTTTGGATAAATACCCAGTAGTGGAATAGCTGGATAATATGGTATTTCTATTTTTAATCTTTTGAGAAATCTCCATACTGTTTTCCATAGTAGTTGCACCAGTTTGCATTCCCACCAGAAGTGTATGAGCGTTTCCCTTTTCTCTACATCCTCTCCATTTGTTGTTTTTTGTCTTGGTAATTATAGCCATTCTGACTGGTGTAAGGTGATATCACATTGTAGTTTTGAATTGCATTTCCCTAATAGTGATGTTGAACATCATTTCATGTGTCTGTTGGCCATCTGTATATCTTCCTTGGAAAAATGTCTGTTCATATCCTCTGCCCATTATTTGATCAGGTTTTGTTGTTGTTGTTGAGTTGCATGAGTTCTTTATATATTTTGGAGATCAACCCCTTGTCTGATAAATGATCTGCAAATATTTTTTCCCAACTGGTGGGTTGTCTTTCCATTTTGTTCCTGGTTTCCTTTGCTTACAGAAGGTTTTTAGTCTGATGTAGTCCCATTTGTTAACTTCTTCATCTGTTTCCCTTGCCCAAGTAGACATGGTATTTGGAAAGATGTTGCTAAGACCAATGTCAAAGCGTGTACTGCCTATGTTTTCTTCTAGGAGTTTTATGCTTTCAGGTCTTACCTTCAAGTCTTTAATCCATTTAGAGTTAATTTTTGTGTATGGTGCAAGATAATGGTCTACGTTCATTCTTTTGCATGTGGCTGTCCAGTTTTCCCAATGCCGTTTATTGAAGACTTTCCTTTCCTCATTGTATGTTCTTGGCTCCTTTGTCAAAGATTAGCTGTCCATAGATGTGTGTTTTTATTTCTGGCCTTTCAGTTCTCATCCATTGATCTGTTTGTCTGTTTTTGTGCCAGGACCATGCTGTTTTGATTACTGTAGCTTTGTAGTATGTTTTGAGTCAGGGATTTTGATGCCTCCAGCTTTGTTCTTTTTTTTCAGGATTGCTTTGGCTATCTGGAGTCTTTTGTTGTTCCATATAAATTTTAGGATTCTTTGTTCTATTTCTGTGAATGTCATTGGGATTCTGCTTGGGATTGCATTGAATCTGTAGATTGCTTTAGGTAATGTGGACATTTTAACTATGTTTATTCTTCCAACCCATAAATGTGGAATATCTTTCCATTTCTTTATGTCTTCTTCAATTTCTTTCAGTAATGTCTTATAGTATTCAGTGTATAGATCTTTCACCTGTTTGGTTAAGTTTATTCCTAGGCATTTTATTTTTGTTGTGGTTATAAATGAGATTATATTCTTGATTTCTCTTTCTGCTAG